CATATATATCTACACCTTGTTTAGTTATTACAAACTATTAGATTAGTTATAAACTTACATTTCTGTTTCTAAAGAAACTGTTTAAAATTGTTTTCAAATTTATTTATGTAAGTGGGTATAAAAAATTGTAAACAATGTATCAAAAATGTATAGTTCAGTGTTCTCAATTTCTTATACTTACTGCTTTAGATTACAGTAGTTGTAACTCTGCTTCTATAATGCCTTCTTTCTTTCTAATTACTTTTTAGGGTTATGTTGTACGAATAAGTGGAGGCAATGACAAGCAAGGGTTTCCAATGAAACAGGGTGTGTTAACAGCTGGTCGTGTGAGACTCCTGCTGTCAAAAGGACACTCCTGCTACAGACCTCGTCGAACTGGAGAACGAAAACGCAAGTCAGTGAGGGGATGCATTGTAGATTCTAATCTCAGTGTAATTTCCCTGGTTGTTGTTAGGAAAGGTAAAGAAAAAAGTTTTCAATTAGCAAAAATTCTGAAATCAAGCTGATATTTAAGTAAATGCATTAATTTAGCAACTTTGTGAAAGTAGTTTTCAACCAAGCATACATCTTTTGAATATAACTTATTTGAAAATATTAAGTTTACAACTTCAAAATGTGTGTGTGTGTTTTATTGAAAACTTTGAAGTTGAAGGTTTTATTAATGTAAAAAGATGAAAACTACAATCTAAGAATTTTCAAAAGGTGGATCTTTCTTCTTCAGGAGAAACTGGGAGTGGTGATGTAACTGAATGAGTGATATATAAAGGGAGTTGAGTGGTGTCACGAAGGTCGACTGAAAGTGTTTTTATATTTTTCAATATACTGTTGTAAGTGTACCTCATTTCCTGTGCAACATGACCAGAAATGAGATCATCAGATAAAAAGAGTATTAAAGATGTTTTGCTTTAGAAATAGTCTAGAAAACTATGCGTAAATGCTGTTAAAGTAAAATAAACGCAACACATGGAGATTGACTGAAAAATAAATGGTAAGCAGATCAATTTCTAAAGACAGGCATGGAAATTTATCATAAATAAATAGTAAGTATTAGAAAGATTAGGAGTAACATTAAAAAAAAATGAAAATTATTTTTCTGACAGAACAAACTATTTGTAGTACAGTCTTCATTTCTTTAGTTAATGATTCACATTTTACCATTATGAAGGACCCCTTATAATTAACATATAAAGTATATTTAAGATAGTTCTATAGTAGTAATTATTGATATTTCTAAAAGCTTGTGTAAGTTATATATAATACAGTTTAACCCTTTTGATACGGGTCACAGGTGAAAGGCCCTGTCATCTCGTTTGTTTACTAGCATTCAAAATTTTATTGAACTACTGTTTCGTTAATTTATGTCAATAAGTTTGGTATCAAACTGTAGATTATAATTCAAATTTTAGAACTACACATTACTCAATTTTTTAATTTCAAAGTAAATATTAAAAATTACTGAAACATTAATTTTTGTGTG